GGAGGAGAGCGTGGTGAGTCTGGGCCGGGCAGTGTGCAGGGGCGTGTGTCCGCGGAGGAGAGCGTGGTGAGTCTGGGCCGGGCAGTGTGGACACTGGGAGGGGCCAACTCCCAACCACAAATGTTCCAAAGTAGAGGCTGGACTGGTCCTCACCACCAGCTCTGCCCAGCTTCCCAGGGCACAGATGCACCGCCCAGCTCCAGGCTGGAGAGTGGGGGGCTCTGTGCCCTGTCCCCACCCTTCCTCTGGGCTCACCTCTTGTCTGGCTGGCATCCCACTGCATCACATGGAGCCCAGAACCTGGGAAAGGTCATGGAGTCAGGAGCGTGTCAGACCCCAGGCCTGGTCAGGGTCATCGGTGTCCCCTGCCTGACTCTGGGGTGCTCTGGTGGTGTCCACCATACCTGACTCCCCCCCCAATGTTTTTGCTTCTCAGGCCTCGGGGAAAATGGATGAGAATGAGTTTGTTGCAGTGACCAGTACCAACGCTGCCAAAATCTTCAACTTTTACCCCAGGAAGGGGCGTGTGGCTGTGGGCTCTGATGCCGACCTGGTCATCTGGAACCCGAGGGCCACCAGGGTCATCTCTGCCAAGACCCACAACCTGGTGAGAAGCCTGCTTCCCCACCTGTCAGGGCCTGGCCCGGGCTCTGAGGGCCCCCCGACCCGCAGTTGAGTGGGCTCTGTCCCCACCCCTGGAAGGAGGGGCTCCGTCTGCACCCCCCAGCCCTAGCCCTTCCCCAGGACGTCAGTCTTCACCTTGAAGCCACCTGGGGCTGAAGCTGATTCCTCCTCCAGGGGAGAGGCAGAGGGTGCTGCCTGCCCGCAAGGGTGGCAATGTTCCTATCAGAACTGGGGTGCTGGGTGGCCCCACCATGTCTTGTTGGGGTCTTGGCCTGGCAGGACCGTGCCAGGCCTGACGGGCACCCTGCGGGCCTGTCTCCCCAGAACGTGGAGTACAACATCTTGGAAGGCGTGGAGTGCCGGGGGGCCCCGGTGGTGGTGATCAGTCAGGGTCGAGTTGTGCTGGAGAGCGGGGCCCTCCTGGTCACCCCGGGGGCCGGCCGCTTCATCCCCCGGAAGACCTTTCCGGACTTCGTGTACAAGAGGATCAAAGCCCGGAACAGGGTAAGGGCCTGAGTGCAGGGGGCCTGCAGCTTGGTGGGCGTGGCCGGCAGGATGGTGGGCGTGGCCTGCAGGGAGCCCGCAGGGCAGTGGGTGTGGCCCACAGAAGCAGCTCCGGTGGTGAGCGTGGCCCACAGGCACCCCACCCCCACCCCCCCAGCTGCACCAGTGTGGAGCACTTGGTGCAGCACTCAGGTACCACGAAGATGTCCAGGCAGACCTCGGGACTGCACCGTGAATCCATAGGCCCATTATTAAATATTGGGGCGTGGAGCTGCTTTACAGCGGGCTTGGTGAGCCTAGCGGTTATACGCCTTCGCCTCACCCCCGTCTTCCATTGGCGCCCAGGGCTCCGAGGGTGCTAGTGGGAAGCACAGGCTGGTCTGCGAGCAACTCCAGACTCTGGGTTTTACATCACCCCGGGCGCCTGGCACGGCCTGCAGATTGGGTCAGGAGCCACGGGCCCTGCAGGTGACCAGAGGCCGTGTCAGAGGAGATGCTGGCTGTGGGAGGGGCTGCTGGGGTGAGTGTGTATAGGAGGAGGCTGCTGGGGTGAGTGTGTATAATAGAGGGGTTGCTAGGAGTGTATATAGGAGGAGGGGTTTCTGGGGGGTGAGTGTGGAGGAGGAGGGCGGTGCTGTGGGCGTGAGGGGGCTGCTGGGGTATATGAGTGTACATGGGGGTCACGGGGCCAAGTGCACGTGTGCAGATGGGGCTGGTGAGTGTGCATACCTGGAGGTGGTGGGTGTGTAGGGAGGGGACTAAGGAGGGAGACTTGTGTGCAGTGGTGTAGGCTCCACGTGCAGGAAGGCCGGGTGCAGGGAGGTGTGTGCCTCTCCCATGCTCCGGCGCCCTCCTCACACCCGCTCTTGGCCCTCAGCTGGCGGAGATCCACGGGGTGCCCCGAGGCCTCTATGACGGGCCTGTCCATGAAGGGGCGCTGCCCGCCAAGCCGGGGAGCAGCGCCCCGGCCCGGGCCTCCTGCTCGGGCAAGATCTCAGTGCTGCCTGTGCGTAACCTGCACCAGTCCGGATTCAGCCTCTCTGGTGAGTGGAGCCGGAGCCGGCCAGCCAGAGGGCTTAGGGGTGCGGGTGGAGATGCCAACCCTGTGAGCCGTGGGGAGGCAGGGGCCCCTTCCTTGCTCCCCCAGTGCAGGAAAGAGCCCCCCTCGAATCAAGCATGCTGGGCAGGGCAGAGGCCAGGGGGAAAGCTGAGGGGCTTCCCAAGGGCGTCCTGTACCCCGACGCACGGGGAATGGGTCCAGGTGTGTTCCCAGACCTTGGACACACACCAGCACCTGACCCGGGATGGCTGAGAGGCCATGGGACCAACCACCACGCCAGCCTCTGGGCAGAGCCCCAGCTGTGTTTCCAGGGGCCTCAGAGATCTTTCTAGAGCCCCAGCGGCTGTTCACCCTGCCGACCGTACCAGGCCTCCTTCTCTCCGTCCCTGTCCTTGTCCTGCGGCTTGGTCCTGCCGTCACCTGGCACACAGACCCCTGTGGAATGCAGCCTGCCTGCCCCGGGGCAGCCTCATCCAGCACAGGACCCACAGAGGGCCAAAGCAGGCTGGCTTCCCGGGGTCCTTCCCGGGGGTCCTCCTTGGACTTTGTCTCCACAGATGCTAGGGATCCCCAGGCCCTTCCTGTACCCCAAAGCCTCGGGGAACGGGGCCTACCTGGCGTCTGGTCCAGCCAGCCACGGCACATGTGCGTGACGGTGTGCGGGCCCCCCGGCCTCGTGGGCGTGGACCCGTCTCCCGTCTTGGGGCCTGAGGCCTCCCGCCACTTGCCTTATTCTCCTTTCCACACCCAGGGTCTCAAGCGGACGATCACATTGCCAGACGCACAGCTCAGAAGATCATGGCGCCCCCTGGTGGACGCTCCAACATCACCTCGCTCTCTTAGGCCGTCTCCAGGGCCTGGGCCGCGCGCTGGGCCGGGCCGCCCTTCCTGGCTCTTTACTCTGTAGAAGTGATTTTGAAAGGCGCTTGGCCTCGTCTACCCCTCCCCCACAAGCTCTCCTTTGGGGTCCTAGATCTTGCTATGAGATGCCCCCGCCCCTCCTTCCAGAGGGCTGAATTGGGAGAGATTTCACTGCCAGGGTGAGGGGGGCTGGGCTGGGCAGCCACAGCTCAGGTGACCCCCACCCCGCACCAGCGCTTCCTCTCCGAGAAGCTCCACGCCGGGGCTCCTGACCCCAGGCTTTGCCCACTGCCCATTTAGGTCACTGCCTCACAGAAGCCTTGGAGCTCCTGACCACCTGCGGCGGGGGGCAGACACCCCTCAGCTCTGTCCCTCGGGCGCGGGGAGCAGAGCTGCCAGGGGCTTCAGGATCCACCTGAAGGGCAGGGCTCAGGCAGCCCCTCCCGGTGGGGCGCGTGGTACTTCACAGACCACACCTGAGCTCCCTTAGCAGCCCGTTTGCAGGGGGTTTTCTGACCCGTTAGTGAGGCGTCCTCCTTTGACTGTGAGACGTGTACTTCCATAGATGTGTTAGACTAGCAGCTTTGTGCCACGTGGAAACTGTAGCCAGGCATCTGCACGCGCTGCCCTGGATAGCAGGCTGCTGTTCAGCCTGACACGTCAGGTCGATTAAAGGCGTCTGGGTTCAAGGCCGCCTGTGTGTGCACAGCGAGACCCTCCCCCACAGCATCCCTGGGCAGCGACTCTGAGCACCAAAGCCACACCTGGCCACGGCCACCGGGCTGGACAGGGCCGCTCTGCACCACAGGCAGGGCTGGCCTGACCTGTGCAGCCCTTCCTCAGTGGAGGAGCGTGGGGACGTGGGCCTGGCACAGGGTGTGTCACCTAGGACACCCACGCCCTTCTTGACTGGCTGGACACAGGCTGGTGTGGGAGGCAGTAGAGAAGGTGGGGTGAGCACCCTCTGCAGGTGGTGGGCGGGGAGCCCTGCAGAGCTGATCACAGCCAGTCCCACCCAGCCGATCAGAACTTTCTAGACGTTTGAGCTGCTGAGCTAGCCTCTGAGCCTTAGCCTCTTTTCACGAAGGCCCAGCTCTGCAGGGGCTCCTGGGGCCCTACCAGGCTGTTTTGAGCCGGGGCCCATTAGCGCCATGTTGGTCCCACACTCCCTGGGGAAGGCCCCCTGCTCCCCGCCCCCCGCCCTGCCACCGGCCTCCACCAGGGTTTCCCGTGGCCCAGACACCTGGCAAGCTGCGGTCCCAGGAGCCCACCAGGCTGACGTCCACCGTGGCAGTGTTGCCCCTCTCCCTGCCAGGACGGGCTGGGTGATCAGGAAAGCAGGTGGCCTAATCCCTGCAGACGCATGCTGCGTTCACACATTTCTGCACACTGCGGCCTCCTCCCTGCGCTCCCAGGAAGCGGCCTCCACAGCGGCTGCCTGCATCTCTGTCCTTGCCCTGCCTCCGTCCCGAGGACCGCCTCCCGGAGCCCAGGCTAAACCCACTGACGCAGGGAGCCTTCTGAATCCGCCTGCAGCACAGCCGTGAGCCCCTCGCCTGCCGTGCACTGTCTGCAGGACCGCCTGCCCGCCGAGCGCCCCGGCAGGCCTTCCCTCCTCAGACCAAAGGCTGGGCTCACAGCGCCCCGAGGATGCAGCCCACACGCGCACAACAGAGAGGGAGAGAGTAGTTCTTACACTGTAATTCTCAGAGTGAAAACAGTACAGAAACAGCAGACATCGCTGGGATGGGGCGGGTCTCTAGAAAACATTCTGCACCTCCCCCCACCCCTGCCCTGGAGAGACACGAACCCCACAAAACCTGGGCTGCCCTCCGCCTCGGCGGCAAGCTCAGGGTCGCGGTGGCCAGCAGAGCCAGCAGCAGCCGCCAGGGGCTCGGGGTGCAGGGTCCCACCTCCGTGACCTGCCAGCGGCCTTCGGGGAGCTGCCCCCCCCAGCCACCGGCGCGGCTCCACGGGGGGTCCCGGCCACGCGGCACGGCTCCCCCTCTGGCCGCCACCCTGGACGGGGACAGGCAGCTCCCGCTGGCCTCGCCACCCACCACCGCCCGCGGCGGGCGTGGGACTCAGGCTCTGCCCCACCAGCTCTGCCTCTGGCCGCCCCTCGTCTCCAAAGCAGCTTGGGAAGCACGAGCCCCCGGGCCACCCCGGCGCTCTAGCTGCTCCCCGCCGACGGGCAGATGGAGCTGCACATGGGCAGGGCCTCAGGCTCGGCCTCGCTGTCCGCCGTGGGTTCCGTGGCCTCGGAGGGCAAGGGCTCGCTGGTGGGGTCCTGGCTCCTCTTCAGCCTGAAGGCACGGACACAATGTCAGCCGCCAGCCCAGGAGGACCGCGCCCCGGGTCGGTGTCGGCTGTCTCCCAGGAGGGAAGCCCCGCACCAGGCCCAGCCCGCAGCACACACACGACCTCCCTGCTCACACCCACACGCCGGCTCACACCCACACGCCCGGCTCACACCCACACGCCGGCTCACACCCACACGCCGGCTCACACCCACACGCCGGCTCACACCCACACGCCCGGCTCACACCCACACGCCGGCTCACACCCACACGCCGGCTCACACCCACACGCCAGCTCACACCCACACCAGCTCACACCCACACACCTGGCTCACACCCACACGCCTGGCTCACACCCACACGCCAGCTCACACCCACACACCGGCTCACACCCACACCAGCTCACACCCACACGCCAGCTCACACCCACACACCCGGCTCACACCCACACGCCCGGCTCACACCCACACGCCAGCTCACACCCACACGCCAGCTCACACCCACACCAGCTCACACCCACATGCCAGCTCACACCCACACGCCAGCTCACACCCACACGCCAGCTCACACCCACACCAGCTCACACCCACACACCAGCTCACACCCACACGCCCGGCTCACACCCACACGCCTGGCTCACACCCACAGCCCGGCTCACACCCACACCAGCTCACACCCACACACCAGCTCCTCCAGGTGCAGGAAGCACCCTCTCCTACAGAGGCAGGTGCTGCCCACCGTTTGTGGCCCGTTTTAATCCCATCAGCCACCTGTGCCTTTTCTGTGCGGTCCACACCTGGTCTGTAGGAAGGGTCTGCTGATTGAGTGGCCAGACATCAAGAGCAGATGGGTCTGCCCGGAGGCCACACAGCCTGATGGAGTGACCTGCCGGCGTCTCCGGGAAGCCCCCAGGGCACACGGGGCCTCCCGCCCTGCATGCCGCTGTGCCCCGGCCGTTACGCCCACACTCACTTTTCTCTGTTAAAGATCACGAAGTCCTGCTGGATGGCGTCCAGGCAGTCTTGCAGGTAGTCATTCTCCTGCGAATGAAGACACAGGAAGTGTGGCCGGCACCTCTCAAGCCTGGGCCAGAGTGTGGCCGGCACCTCTCAAGCCTGGGCCAGAGCATGACACCGGGAATGTGCCCTGATCTTTCTGGGCTGGCTGTGTCAGCAGGCACCCCTGGTCCTGCGTCTGTCCCTGCAGAGCAGGGCACCCCCAGGTCGGCTCTAGTCCAGGGCACCACTGTCTGGTGGCAGCACAGACCCCGTAACAAAGGCTGGGTTTGCTCAAGCAGAAAGGCATCTGCTGCAGCCTGCAGGGCTGGCCCAGTGCGCAGACAGAAGCCAGGGAGGCACCTGGGAGGGTGGGACAGTGCAGGGGTGGCGTGAGGGGCTGGGGAGGGTGGGACAGTGCAGGGGTGACGTGCGGGGCTGGGGAGGGCAGGACAGGGCGCAGGGGTGGCGTGTGGGGCTGGGGAGGGCGGGACAGGGCGCAGGGGTGGCGTGCGAGGCTGGGGGCAGAACAGGGCGCAGGGGTGGCGTGTGGGGCTGGGGGGGACAGCGCAGGGGTGGCATGCAGGGCTGGGGAGGGCGCAACAGGGCGCAGGGGTGGCATGCGGGGCTGGGGAGGGCGGGACAGGGCGCAGGGGTG